GCCCGGGTGCCAACCTGAATAAACACCCAAAGGCCAAACTCAACTCCACCTGAGTCTATGCACCGTCGCCTCTGGGAACCAGGAAACCCATCGCGCTCTGGTCCAGGCAAGTCTTCCCCTCCTGTGACTTCCATCCACACCTGGTGGCTCTGCCTTGCAGCGGAGTTCATTATGTTCCTGTCCATCACCTCTGCCACTCTGGGAGCAGCACAGAGACTGGGTCACACGTGCTCAGCACCTGGCAGAGAAGGCCCCCGGTGAAGATTTGTGGATGTGCAACCGAACCCCTCCATTTCTTTGAAGGCAGTTCTCAGGTTCCCCGAGTGTTCTGAACTCCAAGCCAAATACGCCCCTGGCACAGGTTCAGGTCTCCTCCCTGGCTCTCTTCTTCTCTGGATGCTCTCTGTCCTACACTGCGCCCCCCAGTGGACAAAGTGGGCTGAGGATGGGGCCCCAAAGGGTAAGGCCTTCAGCCCCCATACGCTCACTCCTGCCCTCAGGACAGGGAGGGCAAGGATTGCTGAGCCCAGCCTCGCTTCTGGCTTCTGCTCTGGCTGGAGTGCAGCCCCCTGGCCTCTGCCCTCTGGCTCAGCCCAAGGGGACAAAAGCCATACTCTCCCTCCAGAGCTGGGGTTGGGGTGGCCTCCAGGGGCCCACAGGGGAACAGCAGAGCTAGGCTGTGCAGGGAGGAGGGGGAACTGGGCTCCTTACGTGAGCTGGGCCTCCACTTCTCCCACTCAAGTCCCCCAAACAGCTCAATCATTCATGACAGCCCACAGTATTCTGAGGAAGGGAGACGGGGAGGGCGGGAGGAGGGGAGGAGGGGAGAGAGGGCCAGCGTTCCAGATCTCACTTCTCTTCAAGAGAAGGTTGACTCAAGAGCTATTATTAATAGTAAATTAAATAGTGTGGTTATTCTGAATAATAAAGAGCTCTCCTGTTCCAAGTTCTCACTGTCCTCTCTCCAGGGAAATGCCTGCTGTGGCCTGAGATGCGGCATCAGTGATGGGCATCTGTAGGATGGCACTGATGCTTCCACTGTGCCCACGCACAGGCTTCCAAGTCCCGCCAGGAATGCCTCTGCCACCCTAGCTTCAACTGTGCGGGAAGACGTTCCAGGTACCCACCACGACTCCACCACGGAGCCCAGAGTCACCTCGTCGATGACGTCCCTGCTGGCAGAAAGTGGCCCTCCTGCTTGCTAGCCAGGTGACCTTGGGCAAGTCCTGAACTGTCAGTTCCCTCATCTGTAAAATGGGGATGCTGTTTTTAGAAGGATTAAACTTAATAATAATATTGTTATTACACATAAAAAGTTAACACACATCAAGGACTCGTAACTCTGCTGGGCACCCAGTAAGCTCAGGGTAAAGGTTTGTTAAATAAACAAGAAACTGCCAGGATGTTCCCAGGCAGAGGCCAAGACCCAAGAGGACAGGCATCGGGGTCTTTGTGACAAATGCTTGCCCCCTGCAAAGAGTGCCTCCATGGACACCGGCCCGCTGGGGGGCGGGGAGCGGGCGGTCAGCAACGCGGCATCTTACCCGGCTCTGGGCCCCAGTTTCTCCCCCACCAGCAGGGGATAAAGCTTGTGCAGTGAGCCAGCTGTGACCCAGCCTACTCTGACCTGTGGTGTGTGTGTAACACCAGCTCACGTCAGACTGTGATCCCTTTAAGCCAAGTCACCTGACCTCTCATCAGATTCTTGTCCAGAAATACGTCCTATGACTCAGGATTGCTGGGGAGGGCGGCGGGGAGGGGTGATGCTGGGGGAAGTCTGGGCTGCACCCCCCACCACCACTGGCGGGGCCTAGTGGCCAAGCAGCCCTCCCTTTGATATCAGCTTGTTCCAGGAGGTGAGAACTAGATGGCCGCCTGGTGGCCGGGGGAAGGCAGAGAGGTGAGAATGGATCCTCTGGAGGATGAGCCAAGGAGACCCTGGAGGACCAGGACGAGCCCGAGGCCCGATGGAGAGGCAGAGGCAGAACTGCTGCTGAGGCCCAGATCAGGCACCAGCATCTGGGCTTCAGGGAGACCCAGGGGAACACGGCCCATCAAAAGCCCTCTGGCTCTGTCCCTCCATCTGTCCCCAGTCACCCGGCCCCTCCTGGGCCCACTTGGCTTCCCTCTCCTGCATCTCCAGAGGCAGCAGCTTTGGGGGAGCACGCTCTCCCCTGGGGCCCTGACGCTGCGCAAAGTTGTTGCTTAGGAGGAGGAAACAAGGCTGACTGCATTTTCTAAAGAGGCTCCAGGGAGTGGCAGCCGCCTGTGAGGCTGGCAATGGGGGCCTGTCCACCCTCACCGTGGCGGAGCTGGGACACAGGTGGAGCAGGGGCTCCAGCGGGTGTGTGTGCAAGTGTGTTGACAGGTGTGCTCGCTCTCAAGTTGATGGAGCAACACGTGGTGGGCAGGCCCTGAGCTGGGGGAGGAGACACCGAGGGGGGAGCAGGCCATTCCTTGGCTGCCTGGAGCTCCTGCAGGTGGATGGGCACAGAGAAACCACCTTCCGCCTGGTAAGTACCAAAGAGCCGGGGGGCTCACCCAGCCTGCCAGGTCAGGAAGGCTCCCTGGGGAGGAACTGATGTGTCCACCCTGGGGAAGGAAGATGGGAAGGGCATTCCCGGCAAGAGAACAGCATGTGAGGAGGCCCAGAGGCACAGAAGGAGACACAGGTTTGCCACCTGCAAGGATTTTCATGTGGTTAGAGGGGAGAAGGTGGGGGTGATAAGCAGGGTTGAGGTGGGGGTGTTGGACAAAGGCAGTTGTATGAGGCCTGGGCAATGCACCTAGACGCTTGGGTTTTCTGCTGAGGGCAATGAGGAGCCACAGAAGAAAATCATCTGATCTGACTGAGCTTTAAAAGATCACTCTAGGGCCAGCCAACACCCCATCCAGCTCTCCAGAGCCCCAGCTCAAGGCCCTTGGCATCACAATGGGCGTGCCCCGATGAGTCTGCCTCCTGGGTTGGGGGGGTGGGGGTGGGGCCACATTGTGGGCATGCTCATAGCCACGGGATGCAGCGCACAGTACAGATCTGCTGTGTCGCCATATTTCTCTCGGGCAATGCATCCCCTCCCTACTTTACAGATGGCTATAGCAAAGATGATTATATATCAGAAAAACAGGCCATGTGATTAATCATGTCAGTTACCAGAAGGGGAAAAGTTAGGTGGCAATCTTAACAGACACCAAAGAATCATTTGATAAAATTGAACATCCATCCTGATGAAAAGTCTTAGTAAAATAAAAATAAGAGAATATTTCCTTGACATACTAAAAAAAAAATCCATCTGCCGACAGCCAGCATCATTCTCAGCCACAAAACACCCGCAGGAAGTATTCATATTTAAGTCAGAGCAGGACAAGAGTGCCTGTTATTATGACAATTAGTTTACATTGTTCTCTAAGTTCTAGCCAATGCGATAGCACCTTAAAAATCAAAATAAAAAGAAGCATGACTTTCGGGAGGGAGGGAAACTGCTACCATTATTTGTTCATGATGTGATTGTTCATCCTGAAAACTCAAGAGAATCAACTGAAAAACTAACGAGCCCATGAGAGAGGTCAGTCAGATGGTCAGTATCAAAATAAGTAAATCCAACAGCAAAATCCAGTTAGAATATGTAAAAGATTGGGGGGTCTCCCACGTGAGTTCCTCAGTGGCTCCCCACACCTTGAGAACATGGAGTGAGGAAGCAGCCCAGGGACGCTCAAATCTCAGGACTAAGCTCCAAGCACCAGGGCCCTGGTGGGGAGCAAAGGAAGATGGGCAGAACTGGAGAGTCAGGGCGAGGAGGAGGGTCCCCTGCAGCATCTTCCAGGGCTGGCAACAGTCGGGCTTTGACTAGGAGCTGCCCAGCCTCTGGGCCTGGTTCCCAGCAGCCCTGGGACGACGAGACCGGGTGGCTCCCAATGGGTCAGTGAGCCTGGACTCACTCAGGCACGGGACCTGCCCCCGGAGGTTCCAGGCTATGCTGGACATGGGGTGGAGGGAGTGCAGACTCTGATGGAGAGTCTTCATCCACTACAGGGTACAGAGTCCCAGCAAGTGAGATTCCAGTTAAAAGAGTATTCCTCAACATCTGAAGGACTGATGACAAATTGTTCCTCTGGATTCGTTAAAGCATATTTCCCAAGAGAACCTGTCCATGGCAAAGAGATCCACCCAGCCAACGTCCCAGCTCCGCTCCGATACCAGGGTCTCACTCCCAGCTCTCTGCCTCCAGACGCCCAGCAACTGGGCCCTTCTTGCTTGGGGTGGCACAATTCCCCCAGAGGCACCCAGCAGGGCTGCAGGTGCCCAGGCACTGGCAGTGTCGCTCCCAGTGCACATTCTCACAAAGTAAAGCTTGTAGATTTCTCTTCCGTTTTCCATGGTGTGAGTGTGGCACGTTAGTGTGTATGGCTTCTCTCAGATGCTGGGAAATCTCTGGGTTTTTCCGTTACTCACTGTCAGAACCCCCACAGCCAAAGGTGTGACAGCTGTGGCATGTCAAGGGAGCAGGCTCTCTCATCCCCACCCCTTTTCTCATTTGTCCTCACTCACAGGCTCCACCTGCACCAGAAAGCCACTGCGGCCACCAGCCCAGGGACGGGACAGTCATCTCCCAGGTGAGACGCGGCCATTTAGAGGGAGGTTTGGTACAAAGCGGTGGTGCTTCCGTGGTGGAATTTTAGTCACTGGGACAATGTGTAAGCAGCATTTTAGTCACTAATTACTTGAGGATCATTTTTCAGTGCCTGAAAGCAGGAAACTAATGAGGGGCAGTGTGGTGCTTCAAACCCCCTCGGGAAGCTGTGGTGGCCCAGGGGTGCAGAGAAGGAAAGGGGGGAAGAAACAAACACGTCTCGAGCACCCACTCTGCGCTTCGCCTCTGATGTCCATGAAATCCACTACCATTGGGCACAGGCGTTACTTACACCTGGACTCACAGCCTGGCCACTTGGGCTCCACAGCGCACGTTCTCAAGCGCCGGACCCTGGCTGATCCTTAGAAGACCAAGCTTTACATGGCAAGCCCCTGGGTGCTCACCAGATGCAGACCTCCTCGCAAACCCACCCCCTGCTCCATGGCCAGATCTGCTTGGGTGTCCTCATCTGCCTTGGTGCCTAGAATTACTCCATGAATGCTTTCTGTCCTTCGGATCAGAACTGTCCTCCTGTGGGTGCTCTGTGACCATCAGGGTCTCCCTGTGAGGGGCCACGCTCAGCACCACGCCCCCCGGGAAGGGAGCTTTTCAGGCAGGACAAGGGGTGGGGCACAGAAAGGAAAAGAGAGCACTGATCGTTTTGCAGGCTCTGTCTCAGTGCCCAGCCCCCACCCTCCCTACTTCTGTAAACTCAGTTATCTACAGTCCCCTCCTCAAGCCCAGAGTCTGGGGGAAGATGCTGGGGAGTGGATTTGCTTGGCCTAGCTCACCGAGTCCCCCTGGCTCCTTGATCTTGTCACCACAGAAACCTCGTGGAGTCACCAGTTTCATTAAAATGGGGGAGAAACTCTCTGCCTCTGCTTGGTTCTGTGCGGGAGTGAGGAGGTTGGCGGGGAAAGACCTAACCCCATCCTCAGGGACGGAAGAGCCCCTGATGCCCGGGGTGCTGGCTGCTCAGACACAAGTCTTCCACCTCCCTGAAGTTTCTCAGGCATCCTTGCCAGGAAGAGCGAATCCTATAGTTTTGTGCACATGCCCAGCGAGCTTCACGCTGCACCTGGAGACTGGGAAGGGCTCTTCCCAGGCAATGCTGAGTAAATGCTCATCTAGCAGACTTGGGGAGCTGCTGTTAAGGAAGAGAGAGGGAGCCAGAGTTCTGGACCACTGCACTCACCACCACCACCACCGTCAACACTGCCACCACCCGCACTACCATCTCACTCGCAGTACCACCACCCCATCTTCACCGTTGACACTGCGCTCACCATCACCACCGCTGTTAAATGTCACCAACACTGTCCTCGCCACACGGCCATGCATCATTATCGTCACCACCACGGCACTCAGCACATCACCATCATTTGAAGGGAAAGGATGTCTCCCTTCACAAAACCAATTGATAGACTAATCAATCAATCAATCAATTTTAAGCCCTTTAATGGAGGCGGTAGAGGAATCCGTGTAGGGAGGGGCTTCTGGATTACATGGTCCCCGGTGTTACTCCCCGGGCTTCTTCATCCTTCAGGGAATCTGTCACTTGTCACTGTGGCCACCAAAGTGGCTGCAGGGGCTCTTTCTTTGATGCCTTGGGACATAACTGAGACAGAGCTAGATCATTTACAATAAGTGAGACAATAACTCAAGCTGCTGGTGACAGTGAGGTCCACACAGACTTCCTGAAAGCAGTTTAGCAATACAACAAAGGCTTTGGAAAGTGCATTTTCAGAAATTTTACTTCTAAGAACCGATCCCAAGGAAATGATTAGATAAATGTGCAAATGATTAGATAAATGTGCAAATGTGGGTGTTATAATAGCAAAAGTTGGAAATAGCCTAAATGCATAGCAAAAAAAAGAGATGGTTTAAAGAAACCATATGAACTAATATGCAGCCATTAAAACAGAAAATATAGATGTGTCTATTGATATAAAACTATGCTAACTCTATATTGTTCATGAACAAAAGCAGGTTTCAGATCAGCATTTATAGAATAACATTCCTAAAAAAGTGTGTTCATGAAACAAGGTGAAAATATTTTATTTTAACAGCTGGCACCAAAATTCTTCTTAGACAAGATACTGTCTTTGGGAAAATACTTGGGGCAGCTGTTCAGACAGATGATCATTGCAAACCACTCAGCATGAGACAAGGAGAAGAAATCCTTTTGCTCTTGAGGAAGATGGCAGAGAGGTGCAAAGATCAGAGAAGAAGGGAGAGAGACAGGGAAGCTGGTGTGGAGGAGAGAGGGCGGACACGTGCCAGGAAACCCCCCAGGGGTGTGGGCGGACGCAGGAAGGCTGTTAAGAGCTGGGACCTCTGCCCTTTGCTCGTGGGCTGCAGGATGGGCCACGCCTTCTTGTCCCCGACACCAAACGTTCAGTCAAGTCTCCTAAGTGCTCAGAGTTTCTGCACAGAATTGGATAAGGGGCCGAGTTTCAGGTCTGATCTACCCCCAGGTGGTCCTTTCTGGTGAAGTAAATTATGGGTGGTGCAAATACTTTTTAGTTTTGTTTATTTGTATTTTCTGATTTTCTACAGTAAACATTAAAGGAAAAATTCAGAAACCACACACAGGGAAGAGAGTCAGATGGGACGATAATCTGAGTTAAAAAGCGTGGGCTACACCCTCCCACCACAGACCCCCGCTGCCTTCATGCTGTGGGCATCGTCTTGACACCTGCCTCCATTCAGGAACATCCATTCAGATGTCTCAGCACCTGGAAGCCTGGTCCCAGGAGAGTAAAATTCCGGGGCAGGCACAGGGAATCCCCATCCCAGTGCCTGAGCCTGGACCTATCTTCTCATTCTGGCCTCTGTCCAGAGGGCCCACATCTTCCTGCAGGGTTTACAATAGGAATGACCTCCCCTTTTAAGGGGTGTCCTGCCACTTACAAGAACTTAGACATGTGGCCTGTCACAAGACAGTGTCTTAAGACAGCACCACGGCAGTTCCAGCAATCATACAACAAGTGCGCGCACACGGCAAGCAGGGTGCTCGTCTGGCTTGGAATACTCCCGCCCCCACCCCCACCATCGCCTCATCGCCGCCACAAGCCCCAGCCTCCTTTGTGTCCGAGCAGTGTGCGCGCATCCAGTCCCACCTACAGTGGGGCTTAGCTTGAGGTGGGCCTGGAAGGACACTACGAAGAAGGAAGTGGGGGAGGGTCATGGTGTCCCTGAGCCGCACAAACCCCGTGCAGTTCCTTCCCTTGGTATTCAGTGCAATAATGTAGCTGGTAATGGGTTTGTTTGCATTCAGTTGGATGACACTGTTAGTTATGAATTTATAATTTGTACAGGGATAAGGCTTTTTTTTTCCTTCGAGGCGTCAGAGAAGCTGTTGCTTACAAACTTGTAATTTGCCACTGCAAATCCATCTGTAAATGACACTATTGCAAACTGAAACCCTCCCAGGCACAAGGAATACAGCCTTAGAATTAAACTGTGTGTTTGACAAGAACCTGCCTTTCTGTCCCGCCCCAGCCCTGTTGGCTCCCCCTTCTTCCTGGGCTCAGCCTTGGCTTTGGCCCCTGCGGCTCTCATTCCCCAGCAATCCAGCCCCAAGCCCCTGCTCCTCTCCTTCCACACCCAGAACAGGGTCAGTAGCCAAACCAAGGTTGCACAGCTCTCCGGGGAAATTGCTTAGCCAGCAGGCATGTCATCTGAGTCTGGGGGTGAACATGGAACCCCACTGTCCCCTTCTCCTAACTCTCTCTGGGTCTTTGTTTCCCCATCATTGATGGGACCCCAAAACCAGAGTATGGATAGGCAGTCTGAGTCTGCTCAGGAAAGCACCCCTCTGACCAGGACTAAGCCCAGATGGAGGGGAAAAGGGCAGGCAAGGAATGGATCCACAGCCCTGAAGGACAGAACTGAGGGGAGCAGTGAACTGGGAGAGCTCAGCCCACAGACTATACGGAGCCAAACCTCTGCCTCAACTCTGTCTAGGCTCTTGTATTTTATACTTTTCATCTTATTTCCTTTTGTGTTTCCCTCAATTATTGGCTGATTTATTCTCTTCTTAGTAAAAGTTTATTTTAAACCTTTAAGTTTCCTTAACTTAGGATGGAAATTAAAAGGAGGCTCAATCCATAGCTAGGCTGAAGATTAAAATTGGTGTCTGGCAGGAAGGCAGAGCTGGGAAGGAATTTGGGGAACTTATCAACAGAGAGTCAAATCAACAAACATCCTTAGTGCTCCAGCCCCACTGCACGCCAGACCCGGGGGCAGAGGAACACGAGAGACAGCGTGGCCTCTGCTTCAGAGGCCATTGTGCAAGTGGCTAGGATAACATGTGATCGCTGCTTTGATAAAGGGAACCTGTGGGTTTTGGGGCCCCATGACAGAGGTGCCAGAACTAGTCTAAGAGGATTTAAGAGGAGACCTGCTGCTGATAAGCTGTGTGACCTTAAGCAAGTTGCTTAACTACCCTGAACTTCCTCAGGTGTCAGGATTTGCTGAGCACTTGCATTGTAGTCAGTAACAGGGATGTACATTTTAGCAGCAAATGTAGATGGGACATAAGTACAAATGACAGGGGGCCTGGGCTAGGCTGGGGGAAGGTTCTGGGAAGGCTTTCCTGAGGAGTGAGATTTCAGCCTGGGCCTCAAGGGTGAGCAGGACCAGTGGGTGAAGAAGGCGTAAGAGTGCCCCCAGGGCAAAGGGATCAGCATGTGCAAAAGTCCAGAGGCACCGTGCATCCAAGGCGCTGGAAGGAGGTCAGTATCGCTGAAGGACAGAGAGTAATGGAAGGTGAGGAGAGAGGGGAGCTGAGAGAGCCCCAGGAGCTGGACCACCCAGGGACTTGCAGATGTGGTGAGACTTTGGACTTTAGGAAACTGAAACACAGGAGGGATTTTAAGCAAGGGAATGACATATCGAACTCAGAGTTTTTTGAGATCCTTGCAGCTGCCATGCGGTAAATACCCCAAAGAGGAACAGAGAGCATGTGGCAGAAGGTGGATTTCATTGTTTGATGGAGAGATGATGGATGATGGTGCTTCAGACAAAGCAGGTAGCAGCAGGGAGTACTCAGATATTAGAAAACATTCAGGAGGGAGAATGAGCAAACAGGTGGATTTGGTGTGGAAAGCAAGAAGAAGGTACAAAGGAAGATTGCCAGAGTTCCTGTAAGAGCAGCTGAGATAGTGGGACACGGGGGAAGAACTGTTTAGGAAACACTCTGAGCTTAGTTTGAATTCTGAGCAGCTCAGGAGTCAGGAGGCTCTGGAGGGATCTGGGCTGGAGATGCTTAATTGGAATGGGGGCCATATGGGTGGTAACTGCAACCACGAGGGAGGTGGGTGCCATGGAAGAGGAAGAGAGAGGAGTGAGAATGAAGAGGACAGAACTGAACCCTGAGCAACTCCAGTGCTCAAAGACGGGCGGGGCGGAAAGCAGGCAGAGGAAGCTGAGAGCCAGCTGTGGGTGTGCAGCCAGCAGGCTCCCAGGAAGGCGTGGCGCCCCTGCAGCCCAGGGAAGAGAGGTTGTGACTGAGCCACGTGCGGTGGGAAGACAAGTCAGATCAGGATTGTGAACTGAGCAACCTGGAGGTCACTGGTGACCTCAGCATTTAAAGTTTTGTTAGGGGAATGGTGGAGGCAGGCTCCAGACTGCAAAGGGAGGAGGCAGGAGCGAGAGCAGCAGGAGGGCTGGCCAGGAAGGGGGGCAGCTCTTGGGGCCAGTCTGGCTGTGGCACCGAGAAGATGTGACAGGGAAGCGGGGTCTTACTTTAAGATGGGAGGGTTTGGAGAGCAGATGCAAACACTGTTGAAAAGGACCAGGAGAGAGAGAGAGAGAGACAGAAAGACAGACAGACTGACCTGAAAGGAGAGGGGAGGGTAAAGGAAGATGGCCTGCACATGACCCCACCGAAGGCAGAGGGGAGCTAACACCGTGGCTCTCCCATGCCGAGGTAGACTAACTGGGGATTCTCTGAGTGAAAGTACTCTGCAAAATACCATCCTCCTGGAATATCCCAACATCCCACTTTTAGAAGAGGAAGCAGAGGCACAGAGAGGGTGTGTGATTGGCTTAAGTCACACAGCAGGACGTGGCATGCAGGTCTTTTCTGAGCTGAGCAGAACTGCGTGTAGAGGTTCGGGGAGGAGTGTGAAGGCTCAGAATGTGGGTTGGGGGGGGCCTGAGCTATGTGTCATGCCCCTTCTTTCTAGCGTTTCCCATCTCGGTCACCTGAAAATATTTTCTTTAATAAAAATGTGAAACAAGTGTGTTAGAGATTTAAATTAAAAAAACGCACGTTGAGAACCGGCTGCAGCAGACCCTGACGGCACAGAGGCGGCCGCTCTCCAGCAGCCCGTGGGCTGTGGCAGAGGGTCAGGCTCATGGTGACGATGCAGCGCGGCGAATGCCGAACTTGCAGTGGGTGAGGGCGCTGTGGTGGCACAGAGGGCGGGCCTCACACACTGAGAGTATTTCAGGAGGGTCTGGCAGTTGGCCTGGAGGAGAAGGGTGAGAAGGGGGACATTCCAGGCAAAGGGAGAGCACGTGTAAGGAGGGTAGTGAGGCAGAAGCATCAGGAACGAGGGACAGCGGAGAGGAGCTTGGAGAGACGGACAGAGCAAGGTCCTGAAAAGACCTGAATGCCAAGCTAAGGGGACCGGACTTGCCTGGTAAGGAAGGGGAGCCATGGAAGGTCATAAACAGGAAGGTCATAAACAGACCCCACCAGCCACAGTGGACTCCACAGGGTACGTCTAAGGTCGGCTGACGCAGGGGCCGGGGGACGCAGGAAAGTGCCTGGTCAGCAGTAGGGAGAGGAGAACTCCGTCTACACGATGTCAGGAGTTACAATCCGCAGGAGTTAGTGAGAGTCTAGGGTGACCTCAAATTTCTGGCTTGCGTTGGGGGGAGGGCGGTGCCACTCTCTGAGATGGAGAAGAGAAAAGCAGACACACCTGGGGGGAGACTAGCGGGTTCTGACTCAGGTGCACTGAGCCTGAGGTGCCTGCAGGACTGCCTCGTGGAAATGTCCAGCAGGCAGCTGGCAACGTGGTCTGAAGATCTGGAAAGCTCTTGTCTGGAAATAGCAAACTGGAAGGCAAGAACTTTTAAGAAGTGCCAAAGGGCCCCCCTGGGGAAGGTGCATGGAGGGAGAAGATGGTCTGAGCAGCCCTCGGACCACCAGCACTTAAGGGAGCAGAGGCGCAAGACGCCGAGCCCGCTGGGAAGCAGCCCTCCGAGGGGGAGGAAGAGACTGGGGAGAAGTGAGAAATGAGCCACGGAGGAGAGGGTGCCGGGAAGTAGGAGAGGCCTCAGCAGGGCCAAGTGCCACCAAGCCATCGCCTTGGACAGGGGAGGGAAAGTGCCCGCTGGTCTTAGCAAAACAGGGTCTTGCTCGGTGAGGGCGATTTCAGCAATGTGGTGCTGCCCAAAACCAGGTTACAGGGCTAGAGGGCGATGGGCAGTGGGGAAGAGGAGGCAGCCCGTGTAGAAAGCTCTTTTGAGACCCTTGCCTTTTGAGGTCCTTGAGACCCCTGAGATTACAGTAGGCAAGACAATGACAGAAATGTTCCCAGATGTGGCTTTGCCAATGTGAGCCCCACCAACTGTCCAGCCACAGAAGGACATATGTCACCTGGTTGTTCCGAAATGACCCTTCCTGGGAGACTCAGATATGGACTCCTCTTAACTTGGGAACTTTCTCTTGAAAACTTTGTCTGTAGAGTTATCCACTCATCCCACCTATGTGTTCAGAAATTTTCCTGAGGCCCCATATATCAATAAGAGTAGCTAATTTTTATTGAACACTTACTAAGCCCTGTGCTGAACATGTTATATCAACTGCTTTATTTACTCCTAAAGACAACGCTCAGGAAGGTAGTTACAGAGAGGGGAAACTGAGGCTTGGAAGATTTAGTGAGTCCCAGGGTTGGTGGAAAAGCTAGCTTATGAGCCAGATCCTTCTAGCGCCCCCCCTCCCCCGGGTGCTAGCTGCTCTCTTGTCTCTGTGCTCTCTCTCCGGAGCCTGGACATACTCACTCTGGCCCCGGCACAGCCTCCCTGGCGCCAGAACCCACTCCTTCTGAGAATCCAGCTTACAGATGGAATCTCTGTTCCCTCCTGACCAGTCTCAGTCCTGCGCACTCAGCCACGATGGATGGCAGGCGAACAAAAACAGCTACAGCCCTTCTCGCTCTTGCCTGCCCCGCCCTCGCCTTGGGCACTATGCTTGGTGCTTCTTGTTCCTTACCTCACGCTATCCCCAACGTAACCCTATATGGTCACTATTATTTTGCCTATTTTACACGTAAGGAACCTCAGATTCAGAGAGGGCAAGTAACTTGCTCAGGCTCACACAGCTGGTGAACAGGCAGAGCTGGGACACAAATCCCAGTCTGCCTGATGCAATAACCTCCCAAATACCCTGCCTCCTCTCTATGGCCACAGGGCTACAGCTCCCAATCCTCTGGCTTCAGGAACTTGGGACACCCACTCCATCTGGGAACCCAACCATGTAGTCAACCGTCTATTCATCTGGCATTCCCTGACTGTGTTTTTTAGGCTCCTATTGGTTGCATAAAACAGGAACCCAACCCATCTGCTGGAGCAATACAGGGATGTATTGGCTCTTGCAGATGGACAGGATGTTCCTGCAGCTCTCAGGACTAACAGAAGGGCTGCAGGAACCAAGGCCATGAGAGCCCAAATTGGGACTGTCAGCAGTGCTGCTAGCAAGCTCTCTAAACTACCCCACCCCTGGCCCCGTGACTTTGTTTGGATCCTGCTTTAATGGGAAAGATGACTTGTCTGCAGCCTTGGGCCTATGGCATCCAGCTTGTGGCTCTTCCTGGCCCCCACATAACAATTCCAGGGAAAGAGTCCCACTGGCTCTGCTGGGGAATGTGCCCATCCCTTGTGCCAATCACTGGTGCTGGAGGATGGCACTCTGTGATTGGTGCAGTCTGGGTCGCATGCCTACCTGCTGGCAGTGGGGTGGGGATGGGTGGGAGTAGTGGGCAGGTTAACGGATAACCCACTAGGATTACGTGATGACAGAGGAATTTCCCAAAGGAAGGGATGCCTGCAGTGGGATGATGGAAAACAGGCCAAAGTAAGTAACTAGCTGTCACACTCCACTCACTACACAGGTCCACGTGAGAGGCAGGGGCCGACACCATCTTGGGAATTCACAGCCTCACAAGAAAATAAGGCTTGTAGACACAAAGCCATTAACAAGAGCTGAAGGCAGCTACCATCTATGGAGCACCGACCAGGTCCCAGGCATTGGGCCAAGTATTTCCAAGTGCTCACAATGACCCTGGAAAGTAGGTACTATTATCATCTCTATTTTTCTGAGTCAAAGAGACAGTAGAAAACAAGCTTTATTTTTTTGGCAAGATGGCCAATATAGGGGGAAAAATAAAAATGTTTATGGGCTCCTTATCCCTGCTCAGAGAGGTTAAATGACTTGCCCAAGGTCACACAGCTAGCACATTAAATGAACACCGTGGGAAACATTTGGTTAAGGGCCAAAAGAGTACTTCTGTTTCTCCCTATTGACTGAAGGACTAAGGAGGGCTGTCTGGAGGTGGGGGCTGGGGATGTGGACCTAAGCAGAGATCTGAAGGATGGGGTATCTGGGCAGGTGGCCAGGGAAGCTAGGAGGAAGGGAAGATGGATAGATATACTAAGGAAGGTGAGCCTGAGCACCACCTCGCCCAGTGGCAGCCCTTTGAAGATTTACAGAGACCCCTTCTCCTGAGTCACCTATTGTCCAGCCTTCTCTGACCAGCCTAATCCTTCTTCACAGGACATACACACCAGTCCTCTCCCCATCCACACATACCTCCTCCACATTGGCTGCCCTCCTGTGGACATACCCAGTGAATGGGGGTCCCAGACATAGTTTAATCCACACAGATGACAGAAGAAATATCACCTCCCTTTTTCTAAACACCATACTTGTATTAATGAGACCCAAGCTCAATTAGGTATTATTAAGTCATTACATCCTATCCTTTCAAACAAAGTGCACTGTCTCCTAACACTCCAAGTTGAAATACATCTCCCCCATCCTGGATATGGGCAGAAGTTTCCATGGACCTAAGATGAGAAAATCATTTTTTCTCAGGCTCAGTCCATTTTGTATTTTGGCTATCCCTTAGCATCATAGCTTCCACGAAAGTGATTGGTGGGACTGTATGATTCCACTTATATGAAGTATCTGAAGTAGTCTAACTCATAGAAACAAAAAGTAGACTGGTAGCAATTGCCAGCAACTGAGGGGGGTGGATGGTGCATTACTGTTTAATGGGTATGGAATTTCAGTTTCGCAAGGTGAAAAGAGCTCTGGAGTTGGATGGTGGTGATGGCTGCAATAACGACATGAATGCCCTTAATGCCACTAACTATACACTTAAAAATGATTAAGGTGAAAATTTTATGTTATGTGTATTTTACCATAATTTTTTTAACAAAGTGACTGGTGGGCCCTCTGGAGCCACCTTCCCAGGAGAACATCTCCTGCACCCCAGGCAGCTGGATTCACACCTTCCCAGCTTCTGGAGGACCCAGGGCCTCCAGAGGACCCTTGTGAACATACCTCTGAGAGAACTAGGAGAACAAGTGAA